TTTTTTTTTTGTTTCCTTTCCCCACCTCCTCCCCTGTTGTCTACCATGTGCATCCCTGCATTTGATCTGGTCCCTCCCATCAGATACTGTATTTAAAACTTTGTTCTTGGGCAATGAATGCACAAATGTGCTTTACACCATTGATGGATGTATGGATTGTGATAAGAGTTGTATGCGCCCCTAATAAAACGATTAAAAAAACAAAAGTAAAACTTTGTTCTTGACATGTGTAACCCGGGCTAGCTGTTATCTTAATGCAGTAACGACTTCTGGCTCACTTGAGAGTGGCGGGGATAAAAATCTTAGTGCTGACATCAAAGTAAATTGAAGACCATTGGTACCAATGGGGAGGGCAGGCTTCTGTGTAAGAGTGTTCAAAGACAAAGATGGCCCCGTTTTAAAATGCTGTTCCTTCCTTACTTTGGCAGAAACTAGGAGGTGTGCATACGAAAGAAGCAAGAAACCTGCTCCTTCAAAAACAACAAGAGGAGTACGACAAGCTCTATAAAGAGCAGGCGCTTTCCCTTGACTACTGGCTCGCTAAGGCAGAGTCTTACTATAATAAAAGAGCACTCGAAATGATGAGTGAACAGCAGACAGACGAGGAGAAGGAGGGTACAACAGCCCACCTAACTCAGGGACAAAAGCAGCAATATTTTGTCCCCAAGAGAGAGCTGAAGCACATAGAGAGACATATCCATCGAGCGGGAAGGGGTGGAGAATCTAAGGGAAGGGACTTATGGAAACCACTCCAGCCCACCAGGGAAACAACACTCCCAAAGATTGTACCAGAAGACCCTGGCATGCAGAAGGCACAGAGAAGGAAGCAGGTATATGGAAGGGAAGAGATGCAAATTAAAGATCACCAGGAGCGCATGATTCGAGGGCGAGAGCTCCTAGAGCAGAAGCTCAAGGAGAGGATCTTGGGAATCACCCAGAGCCCCTCGCCGGCCCACCTGAAGCACGAGAGAGACCAGAAGGAGATGCAAGTGTTTGAAAGAGTGACCGCATATCCGCTCTTTCAGCCATGCCAAACAAGTCGCATCCAAGTGAATGTTCTGATGGAGAAGCCTCAGAACGAAGAGGAGGAGGGTACCGTTGTAAGACCGTATACAAAGAAGTTCTTACCCATGCCGCCCTTTTTGAGAAGCCAAATAGGAAAAGAGAAGTGTAGTAAAGTCTCAATGTTTTATTGATAAAACCACAACTCTTGAATAAATCTCTTTATTCTGTTCCTTTTTGTCCTCACTCCTCTTCAGGCAGGGCTGCAACCTGGAAAGGACCAGAGAGGTCCCCACTTAGGGGTGGCGTGGCTATTCTTGGCTTGGCTACCTTGTATTTGGTCCAGCTGTTTATCTTCTTTGATGTTCTGTTTCCCATCTGTGAAGTGGGGATGGTAACGTTTCATAGCAGTAAGGGGGGTATGTGAGGCCGGGTCGACTAGAGAAACAAATCCAGGGACACGCATCTATGTGTAATAAAAAGCTTTATATATCAATAGGTTGGTATTTATCCAAAACACATCTCAGCCCAGGCCAGCTCAAATCCATATGTCCGATACTAGTCCACAAGTCCTCCTTCAGACTCAGGAAGCCACATGCAATGATGCAGAATGCAGGAAAATCACCAGCCGGTGGGTGCAAAATCCTGTGGATCCAATGGCGGTGGACACATCTCCAGGGCATGCAGAGGTCTCCACATGACATCAACAGGAAGGTGAAGGCAGAGAGAGAGTGACCCCGTCTCCAGTGAGCCATTGACCTCAGTGGCACTTCCAAATAAGGTCATGAAGCTGTGACCTGATTGACAGGCTAGCCTCCACCCACAGATTCTTATGGGTGGTATGTTGACACAAACCCTACCACAGGGAGGAAGACCATTTATGTGAAAGGTTAGCATGTATCGGGTGATTAATGAAGGCTAGTTTCCCCATAATATTAGCAGTTAGGAAGCCCAGCATGGGCTGTAGTGGTAAGATCTTGTTCTTAACTGTCTCTCCTTTGGTCCTTGCTGTCAACCCTCAAAAGATTATGAGATTACTATACTTTAGTATATGGTCTTTCATTTCTAGTTCATGCCTTCATCAGAACTACTGACCCTAAACACCTAACTTGCACCATGCAGCATATACGAGAACAGGGCATTTATGGGTCCACTATTATAAAAAGTCCACGAAAGGTTTAACACAGAAAAAAAAAATTCCAAAATGATGATGCAACTTATCCCATCCCATTTTCCACTGTTGTGAGAGACACCCCCCCCGCCCCCCCACCAAAGATGAATGTTCATTTAAACATGATGTCAATCAAATAACATTTTGTTTGGGGATCAGGCAAGACTGGTGGACTTAAAGATCGACAAGACAGCGTCTGATGGACATGCTAGATAGTTTCCCATGACTAACTGCAGAGTGGATAGCTAACGCCTATGATCACAGTCATTTAAAAATATTTTGGTATCTTGAATTCAAACTGTCAGGGGGCTGTGTGTACATGTACAGTGTAGTTGTAAATCACTAGACTGATCCACCTGAACATATTTTCACATGGGTGCAATCCAAATCGATTGATAAACTATGTCTTTAAAAGAAGCAGGAACATGTTCTTCCATGTTTATGTGGCAGGAGTGAATTCCCGGGAGTTAGGACACGAGAAGAGTGGGAAAAAATAAATCTCTGCCAGAAAGCATCTTCACAAGGCTTCTATATTTTTTGCTTTTTCTGTGAAGCAGGAGGTGAGATCATCTGCTTAGAGTTGAAGGAAAAACATGGCTGATGGGTTCCAAATCCAATAGGGACTGGATTCCAATCTTAACGTTGGAAAGTTGATGAGCTCTGAAACACAGTAACACGATGGTCAAAGATTTTTGTTGTTTGTTTACAAGGCCTTAAGAACCTGCTTGTGGTCAGCCACAGAGACAAGGGAAAAATCAGTAGGAAATAGCTAGAAATCTCTCACAAAACTGCATCTCAAAATAAAAAACCGCATCTCCAGGAGATTGCGACCGAGGCAAAAAGTACTACTGATCTCTCTTTGCATCTTTCTTTGTAGCTGCTTGTTCTCTTTGCTCACTGCCGCTCCCTGTCTCCTGTTCCCACGACAGAAGACGACCACTGCCCTTGCTTTCTCAGAGGCTGAAGCCACCAAGTGCCCGCTCTGTGTCATCTGTGTCTTTTACATCCAATTGCTTCTTTCAACTGGACCCTTCCTTCTGACCTCCGGATATGCTGAGATCTCTCCCATCTAAATCAACGACCATGCTGTTTCTTTGCAGTCTTTCAAACACAAGTCTCGTTTTCAATGTTGCCTATATTAGTTGCTTCGTCTGGCTTGGATGCCCATCAATTCACCAAATCCCCTTTGTTAAATCAAACGGGCAATTAAGGATAGAATAGGACAAAGAGAAGGTCCAAACATCCCGATGGGCATTTGGTAGCAAAGACAACATGGATAAGGGATCAGTACTTCAGGTGTCGGATTCCAGTGCACAGAAAGGGGCAAAGTAAATCAAAAGTCATGAAGAATTGAAGAGAAGGCCAGTGGAAATTGTAGCAATACTTTGTGACTCATATAGAGTCGCAACGGAACAAAGGAGATGCCCAGTCAATGGATTTTGGATAAGAAAACAGGTTAGGAAGAGGAGGCATGTCAACAGCACCAGGCTGTACAACTACTAAATCGGACTTCAGTGGGGATGAGACCTAGAGAGCCGTAGGGTTAACTAAACTGACGCTTGAAAGGGAAGCGATGCCAACGTAGAAACAACAGAGATGATCATGTTACGGGGGTCCCAGGACAAAGCTGATCATCATGAGAAGCCTCTTACTGGATCAGATACATGAGATAAGGACTTAAAGCTCATCAAAGCCTGCCTGATAGGACCTTCAACCATGAAAACGGAAGTGCTTGAAAATCGAGCCTCAGGATGTCCGGAACACAGGATGGGCTAGTTGTTTCAAATAGATCTATTAATTATAAAGTCATAATCGGATTAACACCAAAGGTTAGGATAAGGCTGAATGAGGGGTTCATTTGATTCCCCAAGAAGAAAATCAGTGAACAAAACAGTGAGGACCTGAGAGTACAAGCTTTCTAAAACTCACTGTCAAGTCCATTCAATAATAAATGGTGCCTCATCATGAGATATCAAATATGGGCTGCACAGCAAAGTAAAAAAAGGTTATGGGGAAAGTAAAATTTCTTAAGCATCTACCATGCAACAAACACTTTTCCCCCCATTAAATCATCACCTGGATAATCCAGAAATTACTAAATCCTGACTTAGTTGAGAATAAGCTTTCTACTATAGGAGATAAATTCATCCAACTCTTGTGGCTTGAACCACTGGAGAGTGTAAAAGAGAGCGAGTTCTTGTCAAAATTCTTGAGGAACAACAAGGCATTTTACAGAAGTGAATATTAAGGGCCTGAGAAAGAAGTTAGCCCAAAAGATGCTTTGAAAGGCCAAGGAGGAAGCTTATCTATGGCGTAGTGGTCACACATTGGGCTGCAATCCACAAGGCCAGCAGTTCAAAACTATTTACCAGCTGCTCTGTGAAAGAAAGATGGTGCTTTCTATTCCTATAAGCAGTTAGAGGCTCAGAAACTCCCAAGGGCAGGTCTAGTCTGTCCTGGAGAGTTGGTGTGAATCAGCAGCAAGGACGGCAGTGAGAAAAATAAGGAGCCTGTGCAGATGTACAGACTGAAATGGTAAGAGAAGCAGCCAAGTTCACGTACCTGAAACAAACCAGCCCGCTGCTATTGAGTCTGTTCCCACTCACAGTGACCCCACATGACAGAGTAGAACGGCCCAGTAGAGTTTCCAAGATGGTAATCCTCACACAGCTGCACCCGCATGGTGGTGTGCGGTAAGCACTTGACGGCTAAGGAAAGAGTCAGCAGTTCAGAACCACTGAAGAAAGCCAAGACAGAGTTGCTGGGAGTTGGACTTGCCTTGATGTCAGCGAGCTTGTATTTTTTTTAGGTAATTAAAAAAAATCATTTTATTAGGGGCTCATACAACTCATCACATTCCATCCATCCATCCATTGTATAAAGCACATTTGTACATTCGTTACCCTCATCATTCTCAAAACATTTGCTCTCCATGTAAGCCCCTGGCATCAGCTCCTCATTTTCCCCTCTCACCTCCCTGCTCCCCCCACCCCATGAACCCTTGTGAGTTAGTTAATTGTGCCAACCTGGCCTATAAACACATGTGGGGCTAATTGAAAGGCGGAGGGATAAATGGGTGGTGAGCCTCGCCTTTCTAGTTCTCGGGTCTCTTGTTTTGTGATGGTTGCACCGGGTGCAGCTGCCTTGGCAGTTCCCTGCTTCAGCTTGCAAGATTGACTTCCTACAAGACATCCCCTAGGAGAAGCCACATGGACCTACCCCGATGCAGCCCTGGGTGCTGGAGCAGCCGTGTGGAGACCCCTGCTAGTGCTGAGATGCCTATTCATTCACTGACTCAGCTTTCCTCCTGCAGTCGGCATCATTGCCTCTGTTTTGTGAGGTGGAGGACTTTGTGGACTGGTGTTGGGTTAATGGGTTAATGTTGGACTTGTGGGCTTGGGCAGCATTGGGTTGGGATGTTTTCGTGACGCACATTTTCTTTACATAAAACTCTCTCTTATACATGAGTTGCTGTGGAATTGTTTCTCCAAAGTACCCAGACGTATACACCTTGATAATTCATAAATGATTATTTTGTCATATCTTGATAGCAATCAGAATTTCCCCATTTAACCAGAAAGAGCATTTAAAATGATGATGATAATGGCTTCCTTTTCCTTCTGTTGTTGGTTGCCATCAAGTTGATGCTGACTCTTGGTGACCCCGTGACCTTTCAAAAGAAGACTACCCAGCCTGTCTTCTGAGCTGCCTTGTGGGGGATTCAAATCTCCAACCTTTTGGTTAATAGTCCAGAGCTTAATCATTTGGGTATTGCAGAGGTCCCAACAAACGCATTTTAACAGAAGTTAAAAATACCCATTGCTCCTTCATTTTCTTCCTTGGAACTTGGCAATATGCGCAACCAACTGGTCATTATCCTTGGGATCTAGACTTGTGTCAAACCCACCAGGGAATCTAGTGTCTGGGCCAGAAGTAGACCTGAGTCACATACACCTTGTCTTGGTTGGGTTACCATGGTCAGTCAGGCCAGTCTGGGTTTCCCATTAGGAGAAAAGAAATGAA